GCCCAAAGCGGACACATCAATGCATTTTATTTTACTCAAATCTCCCATGCTAACAATTCAAATCAGGTTGTTTTCTTGTGATTCTAACTTTTTTAATCAAGTTTCCTCGGGATAACTCTGCTTTTCCTGTGACAATGAGTTACTTTCCTGAGATTTCAAGAAAACCGCTGAAATTGACTCATCATCACAGGAAAACTAGCGTTGTTACATCGCAGTATGTGTTAAATATGTCAAATAAAGCAGGTTACATAAGTCAGGAGCTTGACAAAACAAACTAAAACTTGTTTTCATGGGAAAACTGAGTAAAATAAAAATCTTCTGATGCATGTCCGCTTCGGGCTTCCATAGAAAACAACCCAAAGAGTTCATCTTTCACATCAGCATGTTTTAGTTTAGCAGCTATAAACGCAGGCTAAAAATCTTGTTGCATTATTTTGCAGAGTGCTATAAGTTATGTACATTAACTACATTGATTTTATGAGAATTTAGTCCCTGCTGACCTCTGACCTCTGACCTTCTGACCGTGCTCTTCTGTGAATCAGCTCAGTGTTCTCCCTGAGTGAGGTCTGACTGCTGGTGAATCATTGTTTAGTCTGCTGCAGAGGTCACATGAAGGTCTGTGATGTAGATGCAAATGAACGGGTTTGAATGCACCGCGTGTTTGTGTCATTAATGTAAAGCTGCACCGACCAATCAGTGGTCCAAGATATGACCGCCTCAGTCACTAAACACCTGAACTGTGCAAACCTTATAAAGCTGTTAATGAACAACAGACTTTGCATAAATGACTTTGAGCAAACATACCGGTGTGCATCGTCGGAGGGACAAAGAGAAACAGAAAAGTTGAAGGGTGGTAAATGTGTAGCTTTTTGGCTCCCGATGGGAACTCGTCGCTGGCTGCTGTTTGTTTAGGCGAGGGGGTAAAAAACATGGCAGGGTGCAGATAGGAGGGAGGCTGCTCTCAGGAAGGGAAGGTGGTGCTTTTAAATTAGGAATGCAGAAAATTTGAGAACCACTAAAATTGAAAATGACCTCAACAAAGTGAGTCAACGATATGAGTATACTCTGCACAGCATGTCCAAATCACAGACTGTAAATATGAATGTTTGAAGCCTGAGTGACGTCACCCGTCTGTTCCTGCAGGGGGCGCTGGAGTCCCATCGATGGCGGTCTCCATGCTGGAAATGCTGTCTCAGTCTAACTTTCAGTCAACCTAACGACAGGCTGAGAGCTGGAGCTGAGGCGGGTTTTAAACCTCCTGACAAACCGTTACACCGCGCCCACCTGTCAATCAGGTCAGCTACACGCCTAACTATGGATAACATTATGTGTTTTCTTGGAGCCAACCTCAAGTGGACACTCGATGAACTGCAGGATTTTGCACTTCTGCATTGGCATGATTTTCAAGACCAGAGGTTGCAGCTTGATCGTGTCCTGTGTTTAATGTTGTTGTTGTTGACAGACGCCGGCAGTATTGACATCAACCTCTCTCACTGTCCATGATGCACTCTGTCTTAAAGGACACGATCTTCATGTAGTGATATCAAAGGCTCCATTTGCAGCCTCCACTCTTGTCAGATAGTTTACTGCAGTTCATGTCTGATCTGTGTCACACTCTGTGTTTGTGTTTCTGCCTAATTGGACTGAAACTGCTCGGTGTCTCAGATACCGCTCTATCAGCAGGATGCAGACGCTGCCTTCAAGTACCAATTAGCTCTCAGTGAGACGTCTCTCTCCTGACACTGCTGTTCCAGGAAGCTAAATCCCCCTGATCACAAATCATCAGCCTCCTATGAGCATATGATTGCACACCGAGCCCTGGAGACTTCTCTGGACGTTGAGATGACTCAGTTAACCTGCCAGAATTTGGTCATGGACAAAGATATTTTAAATCTTACATCAGATTTTATTATCAGATTTCTTTTGTACATTTGTTCCTTAATTTACACCTTTTTTCCAACAAGGTTCAGCTTTAAAGGAGCAATATGTAGCTCTGACACCTAGGGTTCAAAGTGGGTACTGCAGTCCAGATTCAAAACATCTCCCCCCAACATCCTCCATAAATCACAGACGTTCTCTCTGTCTCCACCAAACAGAGAAGAGCATTCAAGCCAAAGTGTTTGTATGATAATAATACAAATAAAGCCTTAAAATAAAGTGCTGCATGTCCTCTTATGACCTGCAAACATTACATGATGTATCGTTGATGTTACCGCCTGCTGAATAAACTGTGGGCGGAGCTTCTGCAGCCAGATGTTATCACTGTGATGGTGATTTCTTTCAAAAGGTGCAAACGACAAAAGACTTTCCATTCATCTTCTCACATTCCTTATCTGGTCTGCAGCTGGAGTTTAGCACAGTTATTCCTCCTGCATCCTCCTGTCATGTGAAGTGAGGAATCCCCGATAAAGAACACATGTGATGTGATATCTGAGGTCTGCTGAAACCTAAAAATAGAGCGAGTTTTTTGTGGTGTCACCTCCTCAGGAGACTCAGAGGTTATCAGGCCACAGCAGTCGGGCGGCTTATAAATCACAGCCCGACCTCCTGACCACAGCAGCAGGCGCCTCGCTTTAACAGAGACACATGAAATGTGAGCGTGGGGGCGGTTGAGACGGATCTGTGTGTGTTTGTACGGTCAAAGGGGTCCTTGTTTAAAGATGAGATAATATCCTGCAGCAAGCTAATAAAGTTGTAAAGCTGGTGATTGAGATAAAAATAAGATGAGCCTCCAACGGCTGAAACAAAATAAAACATACTTAATAAATGTTAAACCAGCAGAGTTTGTGGTGATCTGTCACAGTAAGGTCCTATACAGTAATAGCTCTAGGGCGGCTGTGGCTCAACGTGCAACGGTCGTCTCTCAACCGAAAGGTCGGGGGTTCGACCCCCAGCTCCTGCAGCCACATGCCCGAGTGTCCTTGGTCAAGATACCTAACCCCGATTTGCTCCCACTACTTCCTCAGCAGCGTGTGAATGTGTTAGTTTAGTTTATTTGAATCAGTGTACAAAAAACAAAACATTAGTCTCAGAAGAGAAGAGATGCTTTGTACCAGATTTAGCTAGCTAGCTAATTTCCATCTGTTGTCCCTGGGCGTATGAATGGATGAGTTAATACTAATGTTTTAGTTCTTGAAATCGGTCCTGGCCTCAAGATTGGTCTCAAGACCACTTTTTGAAGGTCATGTAGCAAAGGGTTGAGGTGTGCCAGGGCTGCCATGATTAGAGCTATAGCCTCCACCAGACATGGAGCAATCTCACTCTGGCAGCAGTACGATGGGAAGTCACTGGGAAAGGAAAAGGAGGAGGTTATACACACATCATGTAGGTGCAGGCCAGAGCAAAAACAGCAGACTGAGGAAGAAGATATGCATTCTTAGTTTGAAATCAGGGAGAGAGAGAGAGAGAGGGGAATGATATGCGGGGAAGGAGCCACAGGTAGGACCTGAACCCGGGCCCCCCGCTTGAGGACTAGCCTCTGTACATGAGGTGCATGCACTAACCACTAGGCTACCAGCTCCCCCTGTGTTTGACATTTCAACATCATGTGAAAACACCAAAACAGAGCTGCTGTCCCTCTGTTATAGAATAGAACTTTAATTGTCCACAAAGTGGAAAATTGTCTTTTGCTTCACAAGAACAAGACAGAAAAAAAAAACATTCTGACAAACAAGACAACATTCAAGCACAGCAGGAAACCAGGAGAGCGCCTGTAGTCCTCGACAACATCACAGGCAGCATGGTTCATGACTTTAAAATAATAATTTAGTATAATAATAAGCCAGAGTTTAAAGACATTTCATAAAGTTATAGGTTTAAAAACAGTGATTTCATAAAACAATGTGCAGTTAGAGTTGAGGAGGGGGTCGTTTTTTCCTTTATGAATTGAATAATTTGATTGCATTTGGTACCACTCAGCTTCTGTGGAGTGTGTGTGTGTACCTTTTGAACGTTGGTGAGTAATGGTCCCGGACTGCAGCAGCTGGCAGCTGACACTTTAACAGATGAGCTGACACACAGACGGTGGAATCCGCAGAGTAAACACTCGCCGAGTGAGGCCGTCTGATGGTGAGAACCAGGCGAGACTCTGCTGAGCTTTACTCTCTGAAACCGATACTGAGGGATTATTCGTCGTGAACAGATACATGAATACTTGATTAAGTCTCTTCCTAAATGAAGTCAGCCGTCTGATAATGTTGAGGTTGTGTTGATAAATGTGTTGGAACAAGTTGATGCACTTGATTGAATGTGTGTCTGTTGTTATTCCAAACAGGAAGAACTCAATCTAAGATTTATTTTTGGGGTTTAGGACATTAAAGGTTATTTGTGATTCTTCACACTTAATTAATATAAATCAAGTATATCCTCTGAAAATAACTCTGTGAGTCATGACTGTCTACAATGGGTGTAACACCCGAGTCCCACTGTCTGTGATGTTTTCAGAGTTTTCAGAGTCCTATCTTCACTTTGTTTACATCGCCAGGACGGCCGGCTGACTCCTCCCCTCGTGTATAAAAGTTGTTTAATTGAGGGACTAGAGAAAAGAAGAATAACATACTGTACTCACTGCTTAACTGTGTTTCTAGATCACGCTCATTTCAGGTAAATTTACATGCAGTGTGAAGGTACCAGCATAATAAAGATCACTAGCATTAGCATGCTAACACAACAATGCAGCGCGAGTTGTTTTGGTTTCATGCTGGTGCTCAAGGGCGACATCTGCTGGATCAAAAAAAATCACATATAAAGCCTTTTAAAAACAAAAAGAGTATAAAATCAGGGAGAATGAGCGGCCAATGATATGCGAGAAAGGAACCACAGGTCGGACTCGAACCCAAGCCGCCCACTTGAAGGGTTATAGCCTCCGTTCCTGGGGTGTGACCTCGCCTGTTTACAAGCATCACCTCCGTTAGAAATGACCATAGAGTATATTATTACAAACTCAGACTACCATCATCGTCTGACATCGAGAGGACGTTTAGATCAGAAAAGAAAAACTGTTCAGAGCATCACAAGGTAACATTTATTAACTGAAAAATGAGAGTGGCAGCAGACCGGCAATCAATGGAAATGTAAGTGAAGGCATTTTAATAAACTTTACTGTGACTCCTCTGGACAGACAACATGTGACACAGGGATTTCTTCACATGATGAAATGTGGTTCAGTCTTCAAATAGCATATCTTTGGTTCAGGCTGTACAGTGGTGATGTAATCGCTTTAAGCCAAGAAGCTTCTGGATCTGAAGTGACATTTTTAAGTTTAAGTTTCCATGTTTTTCCCCTCTCACACAATGTCCCATAAGGATAGTTGATGGTTGGTGGCTTCGGCTCAAAAGGTAAAGTAGGTTGTCAATCTACTGAAAGGTCAGAAATTTGTTTGATTTTTTTTGTTTGTTTACATAAAATAACATTGAGATGCAAAAGCTGATAAGAGTCGTCGACACAGACCGGTGTGTCGAGGACTGTCGCCTCTGTATATGATGTACCTGCTCTAACAACAAAGCCTAACATTAGCGTACATAAGGCCTGAGTACCTGAGTACTCGTTAGCACCCCTAGTGTCCATCACATGGTGACCTGTGTGAGCATCGACTCACACAGGAGGGGGGAGAGACAGCGCTCTACAATGTTTAGAATCTGGACTGCAGTACCCATTTTAAACACTAGGGGCAGAGTTACATATGGCTCCTTTAATAAAATTGTGCACACAAAAGAAGGTCACTTTTTGGGACTTCAGGGGCGCTTTAACCTATTTTGTGTTAATAAAGAAACATTCTAGGACGTGCAGTGAAACCATCTAAATTATTGTTTGATTGGTTCAAATGAATAAAAATTGAACAGCACACAGTCGTGCTTTAAATAGTATTAGCGATGCATATATACATATTCATACGGTGCCTTCATGCAGTGAACAAACGTTGACACATTAGCAACATATTTACATCGATTTAACACAAATAGCGTCATTTAGAAGTGAGCTGCATGGGTACTATTGAATATTCACAATCCAGGCACACAGGCTCTTATTATTCAACCGTGCACAATGTCTCTCGTATTTAGAGCTCAACTTGAAGCTATAATTGAAGTGTATCCAGCGTGTGTTGCCTTGCAGGTGAGGGATCTTCCAGTGATGGCTGCGATGACAGTAATTCAGTTTGTTTACAGTGTTTGCAGGGGGAAGTAGCAATCTTCTGCCTGTGTGTGTACACATGAATATATTGAACAAACTCTCCTCACAGTCGTCCAGCTCTCCTCTTCAGCACAGCCTGCACTGTCACTCTTAATCCGTGCGACCGGGTGCAGCCGGGAGCTCAAAGTTTTTTGCTCTCAGTGAATGTTGACGTTTGCAAAAAAAAAAGTCTTTGTTGTGCAGCAAAGCCGAGGCTTCATCCCCCGCGCTTTGACTTCCAAATGAAGCTCTACACTGTCTGATACCCCTGCTGCAAAAGTTAAGCACTCAAAAGGCTGGTTTAGCTCGTTTTTCAGCTGTGATGATCCAGCTTTCACCCTCCACATGTCCGGGGCTAAGGCTTCCCTCTTAGATTCAGCTTAGGGAACACATCCATAACAGCAAGCAAAGAGTCAGCGAGCGCAAATGAAGGGACACACGGGAAGCTCTGGTGACGAGGTGCAGGAAGACGCAGCGCGCTCACCACTGGGACGTCCTGTGCAGACCGTTCCCCTGCAGAAGAAGAGACACATGGCTGTCAATCAAACAGCAACATAACACTGGAAACTGAAAATGTTTATGGTTTCAGCTTCCATCGAAATGGATCTGAAACATTTGCAGATTGAGTATTGATTGAGGAGAGCAGCTCTGTCTGGATTCACAACAAATATAGTAGAGCAGTTTGCTAAATGTTAAGGTAAAACACCTTCATGTGAACTTAATATTTGCATAATTCCTCATAAACTTCAACACTATGAAGCGTTTATTATGAGGGGGATATAAATAACTGGATAATAAGGAACTTTAAAACAGTCTGTATGTTTACATGCAGGTAGAAAAAGTAGATTTACTGCGTCAGTCTGACTAAAACTTGACTTTTAAAATGCATGTCAACATGTATTAGTCCAGCTGACATGGCACTAAATTGACTGGAGAAGTTAAATTTTGCATCACTAGTCTTAACTTCAATCATTTTTATCTCAAAATTGACCGAAAATTGGATGAAATTGCATCAAGTGTAACTGTGTTGAATCCAAACTTCCTCTGCAAAAGTTAAAGAAGCAGAAAACTTTTCAAAGACACCTTTAAAGCTCCGAGAACAGTTTTTTAAGACTTACATTTTCAAGAAGACACATTTTGGAGTACAGAGAAATATATATATAAAAAAAAAAGATTTTCAGTAGCGTCGTTTCAAAAAGAGGAAACATGAAAGAGTTCAGCGAGTCCAGTGAGCAGAAAGAGTCACAGACACGAGGCCTTGAGAGATTAAAACTCCACAAGGTAAGAAGAAGAAAAAAAAAACCCAGACAAAGAGGTGATTCATAGAAAAACCTGTAGAGGAAGTTGCTATGGATACGGCCGGCATGCACAGAGTCAGGGGAATAGAGAAGCATCTTGAGGTAAGCAAGTAGATAAAGAGAGAAGAGGGAGGAGGAGGAGGAGGAGTAAGGGGTCGACCTACGCTATTTCCGTTTGTCTGAGTGTATGCTGCGTTCCCGATGTCTGTGTGTGTGGAGGGGGTGCTGCTCCCGCTGTTGGCTGCAGAGTTGGTGGACGCTCTGGGAATGACCATGTCAAAGGACGAGTCCGGAGGGTGCTGCATGAAGTGACAACACGGCCGGTGAAAAGAAGATAAAAAAAGAAATCATGGAGGGGTGTGTGTCTGCAATCACCTGCTCTTTTTACGATACCTTCAGAAAGTGCTCAAAGTTAAAATCCACTTCTCCATGTTCCTCTAACTCTAACATGTGTCTCTAGTCCGTCTACAAACCCCCCAATGATGAGAAAAGTCCATCCTCTCCGTCTTTCGCCTGCTTTACTTTTCAGAAAATGTGTGCTCAAACAGGCCGTTTGCAGATTTTCCATTCATGACATCACAAAGGGCAGTAGCCCCTCCCCCAGGTGGGTGACACTCCCACAGCTAGGTGTTTGTTCTGCCCTCTGAGTCTGCTTTCTCACCGTAAACAATAGGACATGGAGCGAGAAAGACCGAGTACACCCGAGCCCTTCCAGAGAGGGGGCGTGGTCAGACACAGCTCATTTACATATTTAAAGGTACAGACACAGAAACAGCCTGTTCTGAGCAGGGCCGAAATAGAGGGGTTTATAGACATGATCAAATACAGGATCAGAGTGGATTTAGAACAAGAAACTTCACACACATCTGAGACTTATTTACACTGGTTGAAGAGGAGGAGGATATGTCACCTTTAATGTGCCTCAGTTACCATCAGATGTTACCGTCACTAGCAGTAAGAATTTGCATACCACAGGATACCATGTGTAACAGGAACCAGCTGTTCAGACTATTCATGCCATGTTTAAAATGTTAGTGTACTCACATTTCCCACTGCTTTGGTGATGAGAGCCAGCTCGGTGGGCTGGTACACTGAACTCCTCAGCTGACCCGTGTAGCCGCTGTACGGTGACACAGGCTTGGACGCTGTGATGGAAAGACAAGAGACAAACAAATGTCATTGTTTACTCGGCCAATAAGCCTCCTGTGTGATATATTTAGGCTGCTTTAGTGCTGTCGTTCCTATGGCAACCATCTCTTTAAAATCTTTATATCGCAATCACAGGAGCACTCAATCACAATAACAAGACCACGAGACGTTATCTGTCCCGCGCTCTGAGGGAAACGCCCCGCAGAGACGGAGATATGAGATGACTTTGTCACACTTTGTGTCACCTCGTGTCAAACATTTTCCCCTGGATGAAACTGTTGCCACACCTCAGTTGCCGTGGAGACAGCGCAAACACAGGGAGTGATGGGAATGAGAGGCAGAGTGGGAGTGTGTGTGTGTGTGTGTGTGTGTGTGTGTGTGTGTACAGTGGTTAGGGATGCAGTTAGGAACCAGACACTCATTAACAGGAATGATTCAGAGGAGATGCTCCCTCCCTTTACTGCCCGACTGAAAGTCTGCGAACACAATGACTAAACAGACTTCTAATCTAATCGCTGCCGACGACTTTTATTGACTTTAATTAATTACAAAGAAACGAGCTAACAAAGTCAGGAGTCGACTGGTGAGTAAGTGATTAAGAAAGAAGACTAATGACAGCTTTGAATCATAAACCAACAGCTGATTTTCAGATCTCATAACAGCAGAGACACATCATGAAACATTCACAGAGAACTGAGAATTGAATTCTCCCTCTGCATTTATTTTTGATTATTAATCGATTGAATAAAATACCCAGAAGCATTTGATCAAATCATCTTTCATCCATCCAAAATTAGAGAACAAGTGAGGCCGGGCGTACACTGACTGTAGGCCCAACTTTTAAAACCGCGCGACTCATTTTGAAGTCGTTTCTTCCGATCACGGCCCGATCAGCCGCTCCCGACCACTCGGACAAATTCCTGTCTTATTTGAAATGTTGATCTGCAGTACGACTGACAGTCAGAGCAGAGCCATGAGCTGATTCCCAACTTAAGGATTTTTTTTTCTTTATTGCACCGGCCCAAACTGACTGATATTGTCAGAAATCACCATGGCGATAGCCTGCAGACATGATGCGTGATCCCCTTCCTATCATGAAAGATATGAACAAGAGACAACACGGCAGGAACTAGCTACAGACCCTTTTGTGATGATTACAGTTAGGCTAGTTTGCTTCTGATGCTGAGTGTGTGTGTGTGTGTGTGTGTGTGTGTGTGTGTGTGTGTGTGTGTGTGTGTGTGTGTGTGTGTGTGTGTGTGTGTGTGTGTGTGTGTGTGTGTGCGTGTGTGTGTGTGTGTGTGTGTGTGTGTGTGTGTGCATGTTTCTGTGTGTGTGTGTGTGTGTGTGTGTGTGTGTGTGTGTGTGTGTGCATGTTTCTGTGTGTGTGTGCGCATGTTTCTGTGTGTGTGTGTGTGTGTGCATGTTTCTGTGTGTGTGAGACAGAGAGTGTTTTTGACGGTGATTGTATTCGAGTTGTGCAAGTGAAACAACTGAAGATCTGACTTCATTCATTCATTTCTAATGGACTCCTGAGACGATGATTCAGCATTGTGATGCTACGTCCTGATCGAACACGTACGGTGTGAGCACATTATTTCTAAGCTTTATTTTGTCCATTACAAGATGGAAAGCAAAGCATATTGAGATCATCATATATAAACTGCAGACTTAATGGTGAACATTGTGACTTTGTTATAAGTGTTACCTAAGAAATGTATGTGCAAATGAGACTAAGACTAATATTTGTGACTGCATTAGGTCGACGTTTTAATGGTGTATTATGGGTAATATTGCGTAAACTCCTCCATTACTTTTTACACCGTTTAAAGGGAAGCATTTGGCGCTGCTGCTTTACATGAGCCGCCCGTAAAAACATCAGCGCTGCTAACCTCAACACCACCATGACATAAAGCTGACAGTCTGTAACAGCCACACCATGCTCTCTCCACCTCATCATCTATGATTATCCAGCGTCCCAACCACCAGCTCTCATTATAACGAGCACGGCGCTGTGAGGACACCAGACCGCAGCACTCAGTGTTCTGATCCTTGTCACTTTTTTCACTGCAGAGTCAGATCCTGTTCGGGGCTCAGGACTTCAACAGACGCAGATCAAATTCTGCGTGCTCATCACAGAGATGCAAAACAACCTTTTTTGGGACAATCTGTCCCGTCTGGTTTTCTGTGAAGGCTTGAAACTTTAACTCATCACATGCAAAGTCATTCTGCTAATTCTGTGATAAGTGATTTATCGAACAAACAAAAAGGACAGAAGTGACACTTTAATCTCTGCAGATATTCCTCTTTACAGAAACTGTGGGTCATAAAAAAAAGCGTGGGAGCCCGTGTTGACATTTCAATGACACCGCTGGTTTGACCTTGACTCACCTGTAATCAGGGAGGTAGCTGTGTGACTTGTGTGTCACACTAAGTGATGTAACTGTGCTCACACTCCCCTCTAATTATTTCCTCACAAACAAAAGTGGGAGTGACCATGCCACATGAATATGTGGAGTTTTGCATGAAGCTGCAGTTACGCCACACCTCAGCAAAGTGTTGGACTTCTCAAAGCTTCAATCTGCTTTGCCAGAAGTATATCATGAGCTATCAGTTTAGAAACAGCCATGAGCAAACTGCAGCTCAGACTTTAAGATTTTAAGGAAATCTAGTGAAAAGTGAGTGTTTGTTGGGAGAAGGGGGAGAATATGTCCTCTTTAATAGGTGTAAAAGAGCTGAATTATATATCCTCTTTGTTGTTGTTGGAATAACCCTGATTGTTAATTGGAGCTTTTCATGCTCTCTACCGGTCCATCACATTGCTGGTGGATGTAGATAAGTCACTCTTGGTGCAAACATTCAGGCAGCTCGGCTTTTGTCCGGTACCTGATTCAGATCACAGGAGTGTCTGTGTTGAAATCCAACTAACCCTGAATAGAAAGACTTTCATGCATATATAGGTAGAACACAGGAGAAAATCTCATTTTAAGATGAATTCTTCTAGAACAACATTAAAACAAAGATGTGTTTCAATTTATGGAGTAAAATTATGGAAATGTCAAGAGAGAGCCTTACATTGCTGTTTAAAGTCTTTATATGTGATTTTTCACACTTAAATAGAAATCAAGTATATCCTCTGAAAATAACTCTGTGAGTCATGACTGTCTACAATGGGTGTAACACCCGAGTCCCACTGTCTGTGATGTTTTCAGAGTCCTATCTTCAGTTTGTTTACATCGCCAGGACGGCCGGCTGACTCCTCCCCTTGTGTATAAAAGTTGTTTAATTGAGGGACTAGAGAAAAGAAGAATAACATACTGTACTCACTGCTTAACTGTGTTTCTAGATCACGCTCATTTCAGGTAAATTTACATGCAGTGTGAAGATACCAGCATAATAAAGATCGCTAGCATTAGCATGCTAACACAACAATGCAGCGCAGTTGTTTTGGTTTCATGCTGGTGCTCAAGGGCGACATCTGCTGGATCAAAAAATCACGTATAAAGACTTTAAACACTCTCAAAACTCAACTCAAAACCTTTTTTGTGAAGAAAATATTTTTCCAGTATGAGGCAGAAGAATTATGTTTAAATTGATTGGGTTGAATTGGTCAACTCTTAAAGTTGACCTGAATGATTTGTTTCTCTTTCCTATGTTAAGTGTGTGGTGGATTGTACCCACACGAGGCGTATATAAATGTGAACGTAAATGTGTAAGTTTTTCTTCTTCCTGCACCTTTTCATTCTTTGTAAAGGCAAAAAAATAAATAAAGATTTCTCTACATTGTATGTCATAAAAAGAATGAAATAAAACAAATGAAATGAAATCATATATAGATACTGATTAGGGAGTGGTTTCTCACATTTTTCCGCAGCAGTTTTTCTAATTTATTAAGTTCAGTTCTGGATCAAACATGCTGCCAATCAAGTCTCTTCAGATGAGCTTGGACGAGGTATTTGGTTTCAATTATCAAATGTAATGTAGACAGGTGTAACATGGATCCATTTCAGTTGAGTAAAACATTTTTAGGATCGTAAAGTCCTCAGATTCAGGGTAACCGTTGGAACACATCATGGCAGTTTGGGTATTCCTTCAAACTGTTCTGTTTTCTCTTAGATTACTTTAACTATGAAGGTGAAATAAACAACATTTGACACTGATAGTTCAAAGACGAGCTTTTAATATGTCTGAGCTGATAATATGTCTACACTCCTGCGCTCCTGTATATATTCCCATTCTTAGTTTTGATATTTTTAGTGTTTATTTACTTTGTATTTAACATTATATTGTGTTTAGATTTGCTAACATTGTGTTTTTTACTCATATTGTGTGTTTGGACAACCTGCTGCTGTAACGCCACAATTTCCCAGTTTGGGATCAATAAAGTAAATTCTATTCTATTCGATTAAAATTTCAGCCTCTACATACCTTGGTTGGGCTCGTCCATCGAGAACGCCTTGTTTTCCATGAACATGTTCTGGGAGCTTTGTTCCTTCAGGATCGTCTCGTAGCCGACGCCTCTGGTCGGGTAAACGTCTTCCCCGACGTCCTGCTGGCTCTCCTCGTCGCTGCTCAAACAGCACAGTTCAGGAATGGTGTAGACGACGAGGAACACCCACGCATTGGCCACCAAGGCGATGGCCAGCGTCGGGTCGTCCCACGTCGGGCCTCCGGTTCTTTCGTTCCCATAGACGTACATGACGATCCACGCCACCCAGATACCAACGGAGAGGAAGCTCGCAAGGAAGATACAAGCGGCGTCCTTTTTCCACTGCTTGTATTTGCCCCCCATGGCGGCTAGACTTGCCACCACCACCGCCAGGATCAGGTTCATCACGTAGATCAGCGCCATGACAAAGTCCTGGTTGGCGATGTTGCACGGCGTGGCCGTGGCTCGGCTCGTTTCTGCGGTGGCGTTCATCGGCCCCAGCGGGTGCCGCACCACCGTGATGATCAGCCACTCGGTGTTGATGACCACCTCCACCAGCCACAGCCCCAACGCCCCCAGGCACAGCGCCCAAGCCCGGGGCCCGCCGTTCAGCCTGACGAGGACGTTCAGCCGCACGCTCTGCATCAGGAGGCAGGCGAAGCAGCCGGCGAACAGCACGCCGAAGAGAAACCGCCGCGACGCGCAGGTGGAGAAGTCCTTCCCCACGATGAAGGCGAAGGTCAGGCAGAAGAGACCGCCGGTGCAGACGAGGAAGAAGGCGTGAAGGGGGATCGAGCTTTTCGGTTCTTGTCCTGCGTGAAGGGTATGCTGGCGAGCAGCGAGATGAACAGCACAAAGGTGAAGACGACGCCCGCCGCCGCAAAGGCCTCCAACACGACGCCCCACACCAAGCTGGTGTCACACAGGTTGTAGTAAAGGGAGTCCAGGTTAGGGCCACAACCCTGAGGGGTGACGTTGGCGGCCATGGTTACACGGAAAGACCAGAGGTGGACGAGGCGTTCTGGATCCTGACGGTACCTGATCGGATGTACAAACAGAAATGAGTCTGAGACTAACGTGGAGAATTCTTAACAAAGACTCAGAAGCGTCATCAGGGCAGGATAATGATACAGTCGACACCCAATTAAGCAAATAGTTCACTCGCATGAGTCATAAACACATCGGATTCCAAGCAAACCTTTGTCATTAACGTTTACTCTGAAATGTTACATAAAAAAGTTACGCAAGAGTCGTCCAGAGCTCAGCACTCTTCAAACACATCCCAGAAACTGGACTTTTTTCCCCCCAGCTCTGAATGTTAATCATTATTGAGATCTGTGGACAAATATTGTTTCTGTACAATGCGACTGAGCCAGGATCAATGAGGTGAAGGTTTGTTAAACCTTTGGTGCAGAAAGTGGAAGTGTAAATACTGTTTGGACTTTAAAAATGTATCTTCCTTACATGCACTCTGTGAGTAGTTACACACATTAAATTTCTCATAGTCCACTGCACAGCTCCTACATTGCACCTTTTGTGTTTTTTATCTTTTATTTTTATGTTTTATTTTTTATATTTTCATATTTTACATTTTACATTTTTATATTTTATATTTTATATTTATATTTTATTTTTTATTTTTTATTTTTTATTTTTTATTTTTTATATTTTACATTTTACATTTTACATTTTATTTTATATTTTGTTATTTTATATTTTATATTTTATATTTTATATTTTATATATTACATTTCATATTTTATTTTTATATTTCATTTTATTTTACATTTTACATTTTACATTTTATTTTATATTTTTATATTTTATATTTTTATATTTTACATTTCATATTTTATTTTTTATATTTTATATTTTATATTTTATATTTTATATTTTGTATTTTGTATTTTTTAAATTCTATGTTATATATTGTAATAGCTTCTTATTCTGTATTATTTAAGTTGATGCTAGTTCTGCTTTATTTCCTTGTTAATTGTTTAGCACCACTGATTCTGATTCTGTAAAGGACATTTTAAAACCTAGTGTCCAAAACTCAGAGTGAATCTTTATCTGCTTCCTAACATCATCACAGCCCGGGTCGTGTCTTTCTGCCTCATCTGGACGGTTCTTTTTTGTTCCTGTCAGATTGAATTTCACTGAGGACAGTCTCTGAGGCAAATCAATAAGAAACGTTCAGTCCTTCTGACTTATATGAACGAACTCTCCAAAAAGGATGGAACAAAAAAAGAAAGTGTTACTGTTACTTTAAGTACCCAGATGGTGTGGGTCGGTCAATTATGAGGGCAGTGTGTAATGGAAAAAATTCTGTTTACTGTTGAGGACACATTTTACTTACAGCTCGCTTGAGAAATGCTACAATAATTTAATACGTAATATTCTTGTTTTGTCTTTACCCAAGGATGAAGGTTTCTCACAAATTGCTAAATATCAAAGATACTCAGACTTGAAGTTTCCTTCACATTACTGTTGTGCGACATGTTGAAATGTGTTTTTCTGTGAAGCATGTGTATATAAACTCAAGTATATTGTGATTACTTGGAGCTTTCCTTCAGACTGTATTGACACTCTGAAGCTTTGTTCCTTCTACTTGCAAGAAGAATGAAACTAAACAAAGACATCGATTGACTCATGATCCTTTCTTTTGCATTGTTCACAGAATTTCCAGCACAAAGTGATCGTGTCTTTGTGAGAAAACTGTCGGTCATTCAGTGGATTATAACTAATGTTTTTATTAGTTTTAGGGTGCGACCTCTAATCACCCACTCCTCATATCCTGGCTGATTAGACCTGGGACAGGATGAGAGTAGGCGGAGCTATGGTGAGGAGTTATGATGTCATGAATTCTAAGCACCAACAAGCATGATAACAGGTCATCAAGTCCTCCAACAGTAGAGGAGCTGTCAGTCACACAAACTAGTCCACACCCACATGTTCCACAGAAGAGAAACTGTGTTCTATACTAGTCCTATTTATTTATTTGGCAGAAAGTGCAGTATGCAAACAAATGCCAGAGATCCGCAGTTTGATAAAAATAACCAGAAGTCTACATCGATCTACATTCTGCATCTGACCAGTCTCTCTTGCGTAATGTTTCCCACAATGCAAAGCGCCAGGTGAGAGATAGAAATGACGGACAGCAGCTGAGAGGAAATAATCAGAATCAGACCAAACCTCACAAACGTACCACACATGATCTCTTTTGATTCCCTAAATCCCTAAAGTGGTTTTCAACTGGTCTAGCCTCAGGACCCACCAGACCCCTCATGAAAAATGGCGACCTGAAGTTCAGATATTTTTTAAACAATCAGATTTGTTCAATGAAAAATTATGTCGTTTGGACAAAACGAGACAGAACAAAGACACAAAATCAAACAAACATATTTTAAAAAGTGACAGAAAATGACTCAGAAGTCAATTAAGCGTTCAAATAAAAGTTCTAAAGTTCCCCCGCATGTTGTTCCCTTCACTCTCTCTCTTAGACTCCAAAATATCGTGAATCTCATCGCTTACAAACTGAACAAAGATCGAGACCCAAGACCTACAAGGGCTGCAAAGTTCTCCAGTGATGACTACAAGAGTGAAGAATTATATTTGACCGTGCATTGGATTGGACGCAGCCTCAGCACGATGCAAACACATGTACACTGAGTAAAGATTAGAAGGAACGGGTTTAAAGGTTTAAAGGGGCACATGGTTTATTCTCTCCAGGCTCTTCAAAGAAAGGTCAACGTGTTTGTGCCCAATAAGAACTAATCTCACTGAATCTGTTTCTTTTCATCTTTTGAGTTCAAGCAGCGGCTCAACTAATGATGTCAGAAATGTTCGATACTTTTTATAATGCAGCACGTTTTAAACGATCCAGTTTCTGACTTTGTTATTGTCTTAGTATCAAAAAGGTCCAAAGATTTAAAAGACTAAAGATCAGCCGTACTGTTTACGCAATGCTACCTCTAGAGAGAGAGAGAGAGAGAGAGAGAGAGAGAGAGAGAGACAGAGAGAGAGAGAGAGGGAGAGAGAGAGAGACAGAGAGAGAGGAGAGAGAGAGAGAGAGAGAGGGAGAGAGGGAGAGAGAGAGGGAGAGAGAGAGAGAGAGAAG